GTATGGTTTATTGGAGCAATTTCTTTGAAAGGTTTGATTTAAAGAGATTCTCAGACCTGTTTTGTTATTTTTTAAGTTTTAATATACTTTGTCTGGAAATAATACTTTCAATTTGTGTCTTTGAAATAGTTAAACAAAATAACTTGGAAGAGAAATTAAATATTTTGATTGCTTTCTTTGAAATAGTTGAGATAGAAAAATTGGGGAGCAATTATAAATGGTCCTAATCTGCTTTCACCTTATGATCTTATCTACCTAAATATATCAATAACTCATCTTTCATGTTTAGTACATAGGGACACCTTTTATATTATTTCAAATGTTATTTCATATTTGCTTGGAGCTCCAGTCTATTTTAAAAAAACTGATGTTGGTATACCTTACAGTATGTATATTACCCATACCTGCATACTGTGCAATTAGCTTCCTGGCCAAGAGAAGATGCCGTTAAAGGCATTACTCTTAAAGACTGTCTCTGATTTTCAACGTTTTCTCTTCTCTGGGTAGCGGAATGAAAAGAATGACAAACAATAAACAAGGGAAAGTGATGAGCAAATGAACAACAAATCAACCCAAAGAAGAAAAATGGAAAAGCTTTACAAAAAATATGTTTTGATAACATGATTGATTTTTTTGGATAGCATGCTAAATGTTTAGATTTTCATTGTCATCCAAATTATAATACAAAATGTCCAAATATACAAATTGATAATGACAAATTATTTGATATTGATCAAGGACTTTCCTTACATTTTTTAACTGTATTCTAACAAAAAACATAAAACAAAAGACTGGTAGGGAAAAAGCCAAGCAGGAGAGTTTTATAATAGGAAGCTTTCAATTTGCGCAACGACGGAATCATTCATGCGTGACTATCCTAACGGGCATCCTAAGTTCTCTGCATACGTAGAATTGGCCAAATTGCGTCCTAGAATTCCCGCAACGTAGAGAACTTTTAAAACATTCTCGCATATGACTTTTACTGACGTCATTAAATTCTACTAGAAAGCTCCTTAATAACAGAAGTTGGTTTAAACCAAGTTTGTGAAGGTTAAACACATTAAACATGTTAATAGTTACTTTGATGTTAATGATGGTAGCGATGAAGGGTGATGTTGATGTATAACATAATCATGATGAAAATGATTTTGATCCCCTATAGCCAATTCTCTTTCTAAATCTTGTAAGAGAGCTGCTAATTGAGCCCTTGATGCTTTGAAACCAATGGTCTTTTTAAGGCTCAGAGAGTAGATGGTCCCAAATGATTAGACTTTTCTGAGACTACCATCTGGAAGGACGGGAGAGCGAAGCTACTTTTAGTCATAAGAAGAAATAATTTGGTTCTGAACTTAAGATTGTGGATTGGCAAGCATCTTAACCACTAAGCTACTGATCCAATTTAATAAAGAAAAACCGTTCCAAAGCAGGGGTCCCAAATTGTGAGAAATCGTTGCCGGGAGATCTTGTTAAATGAGCTTCCATAACATCTGTAACTTTATTTTTTTTTTGCGTGATAACCATCGTCACCAATTTCTGTGTCATAATTGAAGAATGGTAAGACATCCATCTTTATACATAATAATCAATAATTTTGGACTTATATAGCGCCTCACGTTGTCACCTCAAGGCGCTTAAATACGTCCATTTTACACGCTTAACAAAATATTATTTTAACTCTTATTCAAACATCTGTATTTAGGGACCTTTCTATCATGTTCTTTCTAGTTATTAGATCACCAAATTGTGTTTTTTATGTTTCGCGATCATATCTAGCACTCACAATGTCAATAAGCTGCTGACCACAACACCCTCTTTGTCATCGTAAACATGTGCACGCAATCCGATGACACTTTCGTTGGTAGTTCGTTGTTCTGGTTAGGTTTATTAAATAAATATAGTGATTATTATACCAGAAATTGAAGGAAATGTCAAACTATTAATAAATTTATACAACAAATTTGATTTTATTAAGAAAAATATACCTTATCACTTAGTAAAACGTGCGCAATTAGACTTTTTTTACAGTAATAATTGGTCGATGATGACGTCATCAGGGGTAAATACCATTCGTAAAATCGAGTATTTGTACAATCGACATTTGTAAAATGGACGTTTTACTGTATCTTTCGCAAAATTATGAATTTGCGAAAGATGGGTAATTTTTGGGGAGATTATTGTATGCTTGCGGGAATGTGGAAGGCCATATCCCAATTTCCAGGCGACTCCCGCGAATTGCAGAAGACATGGGATGCTTGCCAAAGTATTTGAATCTTGAATACTTCAAATATGGCATCTAAAAGTAGTAAAAGAAACACGATAAAGGCAATGAGGAGATAGATAATGGAGATATTGCTTTGTATAAAGCAAAGAACATAAACAAAATAACAAAAAAAAAAAAACCCCAGTAATATATTGACAGCAATAATGATGCTATAAAAGGAAATGACTGTACATAAAATTGATGTACCGTATTTAATGGGCATATCATAGATGTAATAAGATTGCTTGGTTGGTACTTACGTGATGCTGTGTGCTCCTGGATGGTGGGATCTGATGAATGTAGTAGGCGACCATTACCAGTTTATTACAATGAATAAAAAAATTGATCATTGCTTCAGGTGGAAGTTGAGGACTTAACGAACGCTGGAATGAGACACGCACAAAAGTAATCACATCAATCATTGTCATGTAATACAAATTATGTAACATGGGGTTCAAAAATATTTTTAACTCATCTTCAAACTATTTTCTTTTAAAACAAAATTATTATTTTTGTTAATAAACATCATATAAATTGGTGGTGGTGGTGATAACGATGATGATGATGATGATGATAAAGATGATAATGGTGGTGATGATAATGATGACAATGATAATGAAGATATTCAAATAGTTTCAACTGATTTGCTTATAATGATTGTAGAACTGTTTAATTGTGCTTGGTTTATTATTTATTAAACAGTAATAAATTGATAATGCAGATGATGAAAATGATAATGAAGATGTTAATGATAACGAATATGATGATAATACCCCATCGGAATAGAATATGATGAAGACGATGATGTGGTGATGATTATCATAAAGATGATGGACCTTCTCTGAGGTGCAACAAAAATGAAATGAAATGATAAAGATGATGATCATGAAAATTATGAAAATGGTGAAAAATATGAAAAAGAAAATTATCATAAAGATGATGATGAGGATTATGTTGATGAAGAATATGTTGATGAAGATGATGATGTTAAAGCTGATAATTTATTAATAATAATAATAATATTATAGGCATTTTTATTTTTAATGTAAACCTACAGTAGATTTATTGCGATATATATCTGGAAGTGTTTCTTTGGAGGGGTTCAATAAGCACTGTCTACCATGATGAAGACTACACATCACTTCATCCATCAACTATAAGTATAAATAAACAATAAAATTAAATAATCAGACATGATTTGGAAATTTCATAACAAAATAATACACCAAGGTTTATAATTTAATATTTCATAATATTCTCAATCACCAAAATCCATAACACTAAAATAATCATATAAGCTAATTGAAAGTAATAATTCAATAAATGTTATCACTCTGAAAATTTCTACAACTTAATTGATAGGTCTCTTGATGATTATATTTTAAATCTGCAGTGGACTAACATCAAAGAGGAGTGTAAAAAGATAGAAAAGTTATTAATACTGGAATTTAAACATGAATGGAATGATTTCATCTAAGAGGCAATTCATATAGTTAGACAAAAACAAATATAGGATTGCACAATCTTAATATTTTTTTATAATTACTATGGTAACATTGGGGAGTGATGGTGATTGGCATCTCTCACCTGTGATACTTCTTCACCAGACTGGAATTCATAATCTACATCTTTCATTGAAACCCGTTCAACAGCAGTCTGCAGATGATTACCCGCATCTTGGACCTAGAAATCAATTATTCACTGTCGATCAGTTTATTAATCAATAAACCAATCAATCAACTAGTCAGTTAATCAATTAATCAAATCAATTTAGTCAGTTAATCAATCATGACTCATTGGCAATCTAGTGAGAGTTATGCATGTCGATAGATGTTGAGTGTTCCACAAATACTCTATTCAGACTATACTGTGTTGTGATCGGTTACCTACATGAAAAAACTTTACTTTCTAGTGCCTAAGCCTCTGCTGGCTAAGCCTATGTTGACTGACCTCAGCCAAACAGTGCCTGTGGAATTTGTTGTGATTCGTTGCAATTGGATTCCGTGGTAATCGTAACAATTGCGATAAATCGATTACCTAACGACTACTATTGGTGAACTTAACACAATTTTACTTTGCGAGTGGGTGCAATTGGGTGTCGCAATTCCCACAACCGATCACAATGCGATGCTTGTCTGAATAGTGTGTAAGTCAGACACTCACTGCTGTCATTAAAAACGATCCATTGTGTACACATTTTGGCGTTGTGCTCGCCATAGGCCGACGACCATTGGACGCAGCAATTGCCCACCTTTACTCTTCTACCTGTCACTCAGAATCTCGTATATAAAAACATTACATTATTCCTTAGACTAATGTCGGTCACATTCAATATATATATGCAATTTACATAAATCATGGCTGAGACTTTACAGGTGCAAATGAATTCTTTAATAGTGCGTGCAAGGTCTTCAATGGTGTGTGCAAACAAACGTTATTAATGGCGCATTACTTTTCTATCTGTTGCTCAGAATCTCAAACACAAAAACATTACACTGTTACTAAGACCAAATTTGGTCACATTCGATATATATGCAATTTACGTAAATCTCAGCTGAGACTTTACAGATGCAAATGAGTTCTTTAATGATGCGTGCAAGGCCTTAAATGGTGAATGTAACTTTATTAATGGTGCGTGCTATTTACCTGTTGTAGTCTCCATGGAATATCTTCACGTATAGATGTTTTTAAAATCTGACTTGCACTCCGTTGTAATCGTAAGGTTAAGTCCTGCAAATAAATTTACGTACACATTGTTCTGACAAAAAATATTTTTAAATGTAGTCCTATGTTATAAAAATATTGATAGGTAATTCCATAGCTTCTAATACTAAACAAAATTGTTTACGATTGTACAGTAACTTTACAGAGAAACATCTCCATTAGTGAAGCAGTAAGAGATAATAATCTTCTTTAGAAAAACATCCCCATCAGGACTCCAACCTACTGTATGACCCTCTGGTTATTGTTTAAATTCAGCTATGAGGCCAAATTAAATTTGTGCATGATGCTCTTTGTATTGTATAATATTCCTTTCAGATGAAATACCTACTTTTGTATTTATGTATTCAAACAAACAAGTGTACATAATGGTGGCTGTAAGGCATTCAACTATAACATAAATGTATTTGGGAAACAGATACCTGCATAACAGATCCATAAATACAACATATTTAAATGCTGCATGTAAATATGAGTAATAGCGTAACAAGTTTTTGTGACATTTTTTTTTTTTTATGAAACAAAAGCATACTATTGTATTATAAAGTTTGAAATAGGTAACATCTGCCAATCTGGCTATGCCTGCAAAACTGAGTTATTTTATTTTATGCTTTTTGATATCTGTAAATACAAAATATCATTGTATCATAAAATGTTAGATGGTCTCTTAAATTAAATACTATTTTTTTTTACTACCTGTAAATGACACATTACATAAGAAACTTCTTTTACCAGAAAACAAATGAGAAGGTTCAGATTTAATTTATTAATTCATGTAAAGGCAAAATAAATACAAATGCACATAGTTGCAACAAGAAATATGGAATATTCAAGATGTCTTTTATAACAATTTAGTTTAGTTAGTAACTTATTTCTTGTAAATGGGTGCATCAATGAAAGACAATGGAAGAAAAAGTCAAATAAGAATAGCAAACAAGAAATGGGAATGAAAAACCAGTAAAGTGAAACAAATAATTAACATGTAGAGATTGAATGATTGAAAAGATGAACAGGAAATATATATGAGCTGGTTGATTTTGTTCCAATCTTTACTAGTAATCTTCATAGTCAGTCATTGCTGATGGTTTTGCAATGAGTCTGTGATGAGATGGCCCATCTGGGATTGTCATCATAGGACTTAGTACTACTCACTGCTTTACTAATTCTATCTCCTTGCAATGTAATGATCCCTCTCACATGATCTGATCCACTATAAAAAGAATGAAATAAAAACAAGTGTATAAAACCATCAAACATATTCAAATACAGTATGGAAAACTCTAGTAAGCAGGGGCGGATCCAGAATTTTTCAAACAGGGTACACAACAGTTTCAGAATCGGTTAAGTGAGTAGCACATAACATTGATTTGCATTAAAATTTTTAAAATTTAGTGGCAAAACGGGGAACATGTCCCAGTGCCCCCTACTGGATTCCCCCACCCTCTGGTAAGAACTGAGACATTGACTAAACCAGAATTCAGTTTTCTGCTGATTTTACAGACATTTTACTAGAAAAATCCTTTGTGTAACCAGGCCAATATATGGTAGCACCAGCAAATGTATGGGGAAAATGCAAAACAAATAATATAGAAATGGTATTATTTATGTATCTGTTAATTGGCAAGATAAATATTTTTGTTGGTCCCCAATTTTTGAATGCAAGGAAATTACCGATTATACAATTGTTAGGAAATCAAATGCTGAATAATTATATAACCTTAAAAATATGGCAATGTAATATGGCGATGTTCGTCTGTGAAAATTGCCTATTGCATGAATATTGAGGGAGCCACAAATTATCATATTTAATACTGAACTCTTCATGCTCCACATGATAGGCAAGTGTGGCTCAAATACCCTTTACAGATAACATAAAGACAAATTTATATTGAAATAATAACCAAACACATTCAAGAATATGGCTTCCAGTGCCTGTACATATGTATTACAATATAGTATCTTACATCATGCCTTCTTTACTTACTTTGCACTTTGTAGAACAAATTTTTCAGCCTTAATTGAGCCAATAGTATTTTCTGTGAAGAAGAAAAAAAAATGAATTCTATGGTATAGTGTAGAACTGATTTGAGAGGAATCTAAACACACATTAGGCCCATCATGATTTTAATAAAGAGGATAAATTACAGTTAAGATTCTGATTACAATGTCTTAAAAACACAAGAATGTCTGTAGGAAATCCAAAGTTAAATATACAAGAAATATATTAAACTACCAGTATTGATAATGATAATATGATGTCAATGATAATATAATATTTAAAATAATGATAACATTCATGAAAATATTATTATGATATTAATAATAATAATGTTGCATATGATAGACAAAATAACCCAATAATAATAATTATTATATATATAATAAATGCAATATTATATTCAATACAAAATGTTTAAAGAAATTAAAAATAGCAAAGACTCAGTAATAAAGAAAAATGATTAAGTAGTAAGTACACTCAACTATAGAAATAATACAACCCATGTACTGAAACCTTCAACTGATGCTAGATATTACAAGTGAAACACAATGAATAAGATATATTACTTTAATCCTGTTCTGATGTTCAAAAAAATAACATTAATCAAAATAAAGCCTTTTCCTCCAGCTATGATTGAACCATTAACTTTTAATTTAAAAACTGGCACTTTGCCTCTAGACCATAGTTAATAATTCAGCACCTCAAATGGTAAGTTTGAAGAATGTGACTAGAAAGATTGATAATGTAGCTTACTACTAATGAAAAACAATAGCTGTAAAGGTCTGATTAGAATCACAATGAGTCACTCTGTATTAGTACACTAGCTTCGTTCTAGCTATAGTATGCTACAAAGACACAAAAATGTCACATCTTCTTCCCATATTTGAAGAGCCTGCAGGTGTACTTAATGTCTTATTGATTACTAAGTTTCAAGTGTTTACTTATGCTATGAGTATTGTTATTCAATTTAATTGTAAATACGGATGGTAATCTAATCGATGGACTTCAAACATGGAAAACTAAACTAATAAAACAGATTTAGAGGTCAAATACATTCAGAGTTTACAAGAAAATAATTGTATTGACACCACACAGAGCAATAAAGTTATTTCATAATATTTTTTTTTAAAGCAGTTCAATTTTCTGCTTCTATTTCTTTTCATAAATTCAAGACTATACATTAAAAAAAGAGATTTATTAAGAGTTGCAATTAAGCAAGGTATGACATAACTTTAATGAATGTATGTGTTTTGATGATTGGAAAGGCACAGCAAATACTTCGGGTATAAGAATCAGCCAAATACACACTGAAATTCACATGACTATTGGGATTAAATTTAGTGAAATATGGTTTTGATAAATAAATGCAAACATGTCATTTAGGAAACAGTTCCAGACGAACAATCAGCAAAGATAATTACCAAGGATGAAATGATGCTTAAGCCTTATAAACTAAAGCATTATTAGGTTAAAATTGTACAGTTGTTTTTTGTTGTGAGAAAATATGTCTGGTACACAATATGATTTGAACCCAGGACCTAGGAATGGCATGCTAGATTCTTAACCACCATGCTAACCCTACACCCTATCCATACATACCAAGTTTGAGAGAAGTGCTGGCTAGAGATTTTTTCACAAAAACATTTTGTTTTTGCCTAGATGCTCTCTGGTGCACTCTTGGGGGCCGCTCAAAGTAAGCGGCGCTAATGAATAACATTCATTAGGAAGAGATGCGGCGTCAGCATTTGGTGGTTCGGAACAATTTCTTCCGATGTTTTGAGTTAAAATAGTACCTGATAATAGTACGTACGTGTTTTGGTGTAGCCTAGTGCTTATAAAATTCTATAAAATTACTCTTTTCGCGATTAGATGTGTGATAAGCGGTATGTGGCTGGCGGAAGGGCTCGAGATGGGGTCAAAAAGCTGTAGTCTCCAATAGATGCGGTAGGTATAATTGGTAGGTTGGTTGGTTGGTAATGACAATATATATATATATTTTTTTTTATTAAACGATTTAGGCCAAAGGCCATGAATATGCCAAGCAGTGAGCTTAATCACGCTTCAAAGTGGCATATCATTTCACAAGACAAACACAAGATGCTCTAAATAAACTAAAGTCTCATTAAGAGGCTTAGGGAGTGGAGTTGTTTTGGTTGTGAGAAAAAAAATCCTGTTACTGTGACAGGAATTTAACCCAGGACAGTGGTGGATCCAGGAAGTTGATATATAAGGGGCCCAGAGAGGGACTTTCACAGATGGAGGGTCTATACAGTACTACCTCAGCCCCACTATGTTTGAGGGTGAGGGAAGGAAAGTATGATTATGGCACCTCTAGAGGCTGGAAATGGCTCAAACATTTTTTTTTCCCTCAATTTTTTTTTTATTTTGAAAAATTTAGAGAGGGGGAAAACCGGGCTGGCTGGGCCCCCCCCATTGAATCCGCTACTGCAGGACCCTGGGATTGGATGGCAAGCATCTTAACCACCAAGCCATTTAATTAGGACCCGGTTAAATGTGTAATCTGACTCAACCCAGGATGGCATGATATTTTTATAATGGCTATGTGAAAAAATACTATGAGATCACTTCTACCATAAACTTTAACTGCATTAGATCATAACAATATGAATGAAATCTAATATCTATCTTAGTTATAGTAGCATGTTGAATGCTAGTACAGGCAAAGGATACAGTGATAGAACAATGAAAATAGAAGATGACATTTGGAGAATTACTGTAGAAGCCAAGACAGTTGATCATAATGATTAAAATGCTATAGAGGTAAAGATAATTAAGTGACATATATTTCTAAAAATATATTTCAAAATATTATAAATAATTATATTATTCAATATGCTAACATTTTGTAAATGCTCCCTTAGTTGTCACATATTGAATAATTGTATGAATTGTATTTTTGGTTTTCTTTAAGTTGTTCAATTAACAAAATGGTATGTTAATTTCAATTTGTTTAATTTTTTGCTTCTCCTACACGGACTTGTAGAAGAACAACTCTAGTTGAAACAAGTTTTTCCGTGTTAAAATAAAGCTTATTATTATTATTATTATTGTCACTTATCATCATCAGCTAATGTCATCCTTGTCTTCATATTACCTATTATTCACTACCACTGTCTCATTCAACCTAGGATGGTATAATATTTTGATGATGGCTAAAGAAAAAATATTATGAGATCACTTCTACCATAAAATGTTATTGCAATAGATCATAACAATATGAATGCTTAAGTATGGTAGCATGTTGAATGCTGGTAAAGACAAAGGATAGAGTGATGGAACAATGAAAATAGAAGATGAAGACGATATTTGGAAAATTAAAAGCTGGGACAGTTGATCATAATGATTAAAATGCTATAAGGTGAACAAAGTGACATATATTTATAAATATGCATTAAAAAATTATTATAAATAAATAAATAATTATATATTATACCATTCAAATGCTAACATTTTGTTAATGCTTCATTTAGTTACCTAATATCATCGGTTAGAGTCATCCTTATTATCATATTTATACACTATCAATTATTATCACTGTCTTGCTTAAAAACATTTTCACTGACATCACCAATACCACTGTCAAAACCATTGTCCAAACTATAATAGAATTTCAATTCTCCAGATGGTTATTAAATATAAATATAATAAAAATAATTATTAAATCATAGATGGAGACCTGGACAGCTCAAAGATTACAAGAAACATGGATCACTAAAAACAAAATCTAAAACATATCTTTCACTGTTACTTGCAAGGTCACCAATCCAGCAAATATGGTTACCATGACTACGCCAATTTACGCAAGTTTGATAGAGGCTACACAGATGGACTCAGATTCAATATCTGTGCAATAGTAATTGAATAAGTCTGCAGAATGTAGTTAAATTAGAAGCTCCTACGGATACACTACACACGTAGCACATAATTCTAAGAATAATACAATCAATACATTCTGTGTGGCGCTTATTATAACATGAAAACAAATTCTAGATCTGGAATTTGAAATAGAGAGGTCCAGGGAGGGACTTTCACAGATGAGGGATCTAGACCACCTCAGCCCAATTCTGGGTGGGGCTGAGCATTTATGAATATGTCACCTTTTAGATAGCTGGAAGTGGCACCTCAGACTTATTTAAATATAACTTTTTTTTTTCAATTTTTAAAAATAATTTTGAAAAATTTAGGGGGAGGGGTGGGGAAGGCTGGCTGGTAACTCCCTCTCCTTGACTCTGCAACTGAAATTATTAACTTTCAAATGAATATTAGAATATACTTTCAGAAATATTACTGTCAACAGATGTATTAATGTCATGTGAATTGTAAGAATCCAAGTCTTTTATGCAAGCCAGATAATATAACCAGTATTTCATATGTGAAAAAGAAAAACGTTTTTTGAATCACTGTTAACAGGTAATACATCATTTTAATAATTTTTTCATTGCACTTATCCGAAAATATTTATTTTAACAAATACAAAATTAATGTTAAATTATTGTCAATTTTTTGTCAAATTACTGTTAAATTATTGATAAATTTTTGTTTAATTATTGTATTTTAATATTATCATAATGAATTTTAAATATTTAAAAATTATAATAATTATTGCAATTACCTCAATTGTAAATAACATGCAATTTGGCCTTTGGCCACCATATGTTATTAATTTTATGTGAGATTTTTAAAAAATAGTGATACTGTATATATAAGTGATATATAATTCACTCCTCAATTAATCCTAAATTTAAAATTCATCCCATTTCTAATTGTGAATAAAAGTTCAATATAAAAAGAACCAAATACACTGTACATATGTAATTTTATTCTTTTGTTTTAATACTGAATTAAAATTAGTATAAATATATTAATAACAGATTAATCAATATTCAAGTAAGGAAGAATGTTCATAGTAACTGTATAACTCATAAGTATTTTTGACTGTTGGCGTTTGGCACACGTGCTGTAACACTGATGTGTTGGAATGTTATAATTACTGTATTTTTAACTACATTTGCAGAT